GTCTAATGTAGATACTAGATGTTTTTGTATTTCAATTAAAAATGCTGAAAGGTTTTGGGCATAAAATTTGACTTAATTATTTCAATTTAAAATCCTATCTCCTATTGTAGAAGTAGATGATGTCGAGGAGTCGCCATCCATATTAAGAGAAGAGTTAAATTATTTGATAAATGTAATAATAATACGCCACTTACATATACACCGAAATTCATACACATTTCTGATAAACACACACAAACATTTCTGATAAAAAAAATACAAACAGAAAGATATTCAGAGTTCCAATGGAAAACAAATCCAATGACAAATCCATCACACCATGATGACATGACACATCACTAGTCTCGAGAGATGCAAGATTCTCTAGTGTTGTCAGCGTCTAAACGCCAAGACAACGTTTAGGTCAACTGGTCTCATTTATCACCGTCTCGTACGTTGTTAAAACTACTTGATGGATGACTTGCCAACGATCAGGATAACCATACTTATGAATAATAAGCATTTTGTACAACACTACAGATCCTTCAGTCAATTCTTAAGGAAAATTCTTACCGAAAACGCGACAAGTGAGCATAAGGATTTTCTGAGCCGATTTAAACAAACGGATTTTACGAACAATATCTAGTCACACTAATATTATAAATGTGAAAGTTTCTTTGTTTGGATCTTTGCCTGTCAATCACGCTAAAACTTCTGAACGGATTTTGATGAAATTTGGTATACTGGAAGAGTATGGGCTGAGTTGAGTACGGTCGTGGTGGCTCGGAGGTTTAAGATGCCCGCTTCTCATATGCATGAGGGTGCGGGTTCAAAACCTACCAACGGCAAGTACCAATGTTACTTTTTCAGAGTTATATGTACTTGCTAAAAAAAATATTTAGACACCATGGACAAACGGTGAAGGAAATCATCGTGAGGAAACCTGTGCTTATAATTTCTAATTATAAGTTTGAAATCGCCAACCCACATTGAGCAAGCGTGGTGGTGATTAATGCTCAAACCTTCTCCGTGTGAGAAGAGGCTTTGCTCAGCAGTGGGCATTTATAGGCTGTTGATGATGGGCTGAGGCTAGGCTAGGCTAGGCTGGGGCTAGGTGATCGGATTTAGATTTTTTATCCGAATTAAATGCTCCCAAGGGATAGAACAGGAATCATATAATATATAAATAATCTAAATTCTCACATTCAAAGCACAGAAAAAAATTACCTACGGTATAACGAATAAGTCTAATTAAGCAACAACGCCTTCTTAAAAATGCATTCTAAAAATAGGACTAATTATAACGTGAAAGCCATTATTAAACTCTCATCTGCGTATCTCTACTTGCACCAATACGACGAAATAAAAACTATACCAATATGTTACAGACCCGAGCGTACGGCGCGTCGCGTTCCGCGCGCGCCTCAAAGAGCCATCAGACCACCACAGATGGGGCCCAATAAGGCCGATGCCGATTCGGAGTCGCGGAGAACCTAACGGGTAACCGGGGCTCCGGCTCGACGTGCAGGAGAAGGAACGGGGTGGTTTTTAGTCAGTAAGAGTCTGACACTCCCTCCCGCCTCACCCAGGCGGGAGCAGTCATGCGATAATTTTCCCCCCTTAAAAAAAAAAAAAATACCGATATGTTTTGTTATCAAGCAACAGTATTGTTATTTTTATCCATTCTAGTTGCCTGTCGCATAATTGATTTGTTGTTTACACAGCAGCACAGAGCCCGTATCCAATATAATAGTGGCAATCACAATTGTACTGTTTTCACAACAGCTACGTAGTTTCAATTACTTTTCAATTTTTATTGAATATATCTCTGTATTTGATTAGACTATCTCTTTGGGTTTCCCATTGTTTAAAGGTCTCGGTAATAATATCACGAAGTCTCAACATGTAGTACATGTTCAGTTGTAGTTCAGCCTACTAAGACGTTTGACTACTTAGCCGAACTGATAACATCGTCTACTGTAATATAATATTTCACACCTTTGGGGATTAAAAATAAAAATTATATGTTATGCTATCTATCTTATTATCTCCTTCCCTTCGTAAACAAAGGTCATTAATATTGATGTCAGTGAACGACAGGTACTTAGTTACAAATCGAACGAAATACAGTTTAACAGAATAGATGGGAACGGAGGTGAACCGGTTCACGTTTTATCTGAAGACAACAGGGGTTAGACAAATGGCGCGCTTGCCTTCCATATTTAGAATGAATATATTATTGGCTAAGACAGTTGAGACAGGTTTACGTCGCATTTGTTGGAAAATGGTGGTTGAAGAGAACTTTCATGTGTTTTATGGTCACAAATAGGTGCAATGATAAATAAATTATATACCAATATGAAGGAAAAATAGTGCACGTCTAAAAGTAGCTGTGTCCTTTTAAAAATTATTTTATTTTGTTTACATTATAAGTTTCGTGACTTATACTAAATTAATTATTATGTTTTTGGCTTACCACTACTGGTAGCAGTGCAACCAGTTATCGGGGAATGCTGCTCATGAATATGAGCCTCTACCATGGCATGTGTAACTAGTTGAGTACCTCGTCAAACTGTTACGTAAGTAAGCCGAGTACATAATAATCAATGATTTTATTTGTCTTCGGAATATCATACAATTTACTTTATAAAGTAATTAATCTAACAATTGAACTTCCACACCAGGAAAGAACCCATCCTTATTGAGATATTCATAACAACCAAACAATATCTACATAAAATCTCACCTTTTGTTATAGGTACACATAAAAACAAAAATATTCGCTTTCAAACAAACAATACGCGACTTATTTCACCAGATGTATCTATTTGATTTACACGCATTTGTATCTTTGATAACAACCACCTATCCCAAAGTGAATTGAATCAGTCAGCCGGACTGCGAACAATAAATATTTTAGTAGAAATACGGCCCACAGAAGACGAGATATATTGAAGGTTCATTGAATAAAATGTTGGCCGGCAGGGGACGCCACGGGCGAACCCCTTTATTATCATGTACGGACTGATGTGGGCCGATAAAGGGACCCTCCCCGAGTATTAGACAAATACCTAGGTGTTTCTGCCGTCTCAACAAGTTTGGAGCAAGCATTTTGTACGCACCTTCGTTGGAAGGTTATTTTTTGATGATTTGACAGATTGGAGGGAATTTTCTTCGCTTTGTTCGCAGTTCCTGTGGTTTGAAGAGCTTCTCTGCAGTTAATTTGTTTTAAAATAGACTGCCTTTCTTTGGAATGTTACCAAAATGGTTCTTAACTATTCCAACTTGCTTTCGGTTCATATTTTTTGAGTGATAGAAATGATTTGTTTTTAACCAATCTTCAAACCTAATTATTATGTTATAGAAACAAAACAAGAATTTTAATAATATAATCAATTTTCTTCATCCATCTTAGTTTGAAGCTCGCAACAAACTAAGTAAACGAAGCGATACCGCCGTCTTTATGCATATTGAAACCTAATTAAAATGTAATTAATCTTCAAAGAACTATGAATGATAGGCTGGAGAGTAAATGGGTTAGAAAGTGGAAGAACAAAAGGCTGCAAAAGTAGTATGACTAATAGACCTATAGACTTTATTAATTGAACTCTAAAATCTCGATAAGACTGTGTAAACGTTTAAGATGAACATTCTAACTATAGGTACTGTAATTATAACAATAACAAATAGAAGGGAAACACTCTATGAAAGTGTTGCTGGCCGACAGGTTTAAGACGCCCGCTTCTCATGCATGAGGGTACGGGAAAACAGCAAGTACCACTTGTGTCATGTGACTTTTTCCGGGTTATGTGTACATACTGTCTATGATCATTTAGACACTGTTAACGAAAGTTGACGACAAACTTCCTGAGGAAACATACATACATAACATTACGCCTTTTATCCCCGAAGGGGTAGGCAGAGCTGTGGCCCTCTTTCCACTATTTATGTTATGAGTCCCATGTTATTACGTAATAAATATTAATAAATATTATTATTGTTTTAAATAGGGGGTGAGCCTATTGCCATTTACCGGGCACAATTACAGAATCCGTGCTGCTACTGAGATTTTTTGATAAAAACCCAGTAATACTTTACCCGACCCGGGAATCGAACCCGAGACCCCTTACCCGGCAGTCGCACTTGCGACCACTCGGCCAACGAAGCAGTCCTTCACTGTATGAGAACAGGCGTTTGGTCAGCAGTTCCCACTTATATGCTGTTGATGCTGGTGTTGTTGAACTCTGTGGAAGATTGTAATGAGAGGTTATCAGCTAAGGCTGATAAGGTTTTGCTTATGCTTACGAAACGAAGTCATGGGTTTTTGAAAGACAATGAGAGCGATATATATTTTTTTGGTTTGGAAAGTTTCTCTTACTTTTTCTAAGTATACTTTGTAACTCAAGAGAAAATTTACTCACCAAACCCTGACCATAAGCGTAAGAATTTATTTTTAGAGTCATGACGCCATTTTTAACGCGGCCAACATTTCCTCGTTTATACTTTTTACTACCAAACTGTTGCCTATGTTTTTCCACACGTGAAATTCAACTTACACTTAGATGGCCCGAAGGTTGATTTTTAAACGATATGTTATGCACCCCTTCTTGGACGAATCTTTCTTTTAATGTTTTCTATCTGTAGTTTTTAGGTTATGTTCCTGTCATTCATGTGTCTGTTTTGGAATTGTTTCATGTATTTACAACCAAACATGGTGGCATTTCTATTCATAGCATTTTGTTACAAAGTTCTTCATTGTGATGGATCAATATTGTTCAATTAAAATTCTTTGCTTTCTTTGATTTTTGCATTATTCTGCATAATTATAATTCAACAATTCCAAATATTCTGTTTTCTTGTTTATTTGGCTCTTACTACTTACTCTTTAATTTAAAAAGTATTTTTTGCACAGTCTATGCACAACAGTAAAGCTTTTTCATTAAAAACAATATTATAATCATTCTATTTTATGAAACAACTGTTCATTTACAATAATAATGATTATTTTTCTTTGTTTTCAGATTTCGCGATGACAATAATAATCCAGTAAACGTGAGAGTACATTGAAAATGTTCATAGAAATAAAATTGTGATAAAATAGTGCTTATGAGTGATAACATAGGATTCAAGTGATGGTTTAAGTGATGTGATAAGGAACGTTTGGGCGATGGTGCGGTATTTGGTGACGTCATGGCTCGCTATACTGCTCCTGTCCTGCAGTTTAAGACTAGGTCAGTATAAGAAGGTGTATTTATATCGAAAACTAAACATTAAGACTTATGTACCCATTCATGAAATAAATAATAAAGATATTACTCTAGCATAAACGTACAAAATTTCCAAGGTTACGTTTGGAGTACAGTTCAAAAATTTCGACAAGACAGGACCAAACACGTATTTTAACTTTATTATAGGTCTCTGTTAAATCACGTCTAAAAATGCAATGTGCTTAGTGTTTGTTGACCACAAAATAACAGTTAATATAGCTTCTGAGTTTTAACTGTTCAATGAGTTTACTTGACTACTTTCAAGCTATAACGAGGCTCATAGTCATGGCCATGCGTGCCTGACAATCAACGAGATAAACGTCGCACTAATACTAACTCATCTATCCATTTGTCTATTCTTCTGTCCATGTAGTAGCAATATATTAAGTAGTTACGATTATTTACTACTTAAAAAATTTAAATCATTATTTTAATGAAAATTATGGACCAAAGTTACATAACTCCACGCAACACACTAATTAGAATATTAAAGTAACTTCTAGGTAGTTTCTTAGTGCAGAATGGTGAATTCATTGAGGTCATTATAAATTCAAATTAACTGCCTTATCACCCAACTGATTTGCATCGCGCCTGCAGCCGGTATAGTTGCGTTCTTACAAAATTCAGCTTCTAGAACGCTGTTATTTTAGTCACTTTAAAATTGGATTAAAGAAAATCAGTTTCTCAGTTTTATCCAATTAAAGTTTAGATAGTTATTTATTGTGTTGGAATTATGAATTGTCTTTGTATTTATCAAATTAAATTAGGGGAATACTGTTGTAAGCCTTTATTTCATTTTAACGTGTTACTCCAACAGTCACATACCTCAAATCATAGATAAATATAGCCTTAAAATATTTACAGCTATTCCATCACGCTAGATAATGTGGTAGTTCTACAGAAAATATAATATTCACGAGAATAGATGAGCCAACATTTTCTCTAAATCGGTTCACGTCAAGTACATGCATGCATTGACAATGTTTTACAATTTAAAATCCACGTCGAACGCCACAAAAGTGTTGCATGATCTTATTTCCCAATTTCAACGATGTCACCGAGGTACGATAGCAATTTTTGATACGTTCACCGACTTAGGTACAATTTCCCCCGAGTGAGGACTTATCTCAAACTGTTGGCTACGAACTTGCATTAGGGTTGTCCCAACACTAAAATGGAAATTAGGGACAATCCCTACGAGTAAATTAAGTTCCATTGACGCCGTTGGAATGTGAAGACGAAAACGATTAAGCCACAGTAGGTCAGTCCCAATCTCCCAGTAATTGGCTGTCCCTAGAGTAAAATTTGTGACGTCTATTTACTGGGCGACAGATTCCTGTTTTGATTTTAGGGTCCCGAAATCAGATTGACGTTAAATTGTTTTTGTTTTAGAGCGTGGATTGCGTTAGGGTTGGTCTTGTGAAATATTCAGGGATTTAGGATTCCAATTTGACCTTCGGTAGATCGAAGCTTAGCGATGTGTACGACAGGAATTAGTGGAAATGTCCGCGACCTTGACGGTTCAACGGTTAGGGTTAGGTATTTCTGAACACATCCTTTTTTTGAGTAAAACAGAAATACAGCTACATATACTACACTACGAAAAATTGAAATAACAAAAATTCCTCTGCACGTAAAAGGAATTCCCATGGCGAGTCGAAACACATATGAATTCTCGATACTAACCATCGAAGCATGGTTGGCTACACATAATACCTTATCTGGCCAGAAATTGTTTCTTTTCCGATATTGAAACTTTGTCTGCGATATTTTCTATAGCAATTCCAGCAAGGACCTTTTAGGGAAGCTTGCATAACTTTACTGTGTAAATTGAAACTATTGATTGAGAGAACTTTATCCATTCGATACTTTTAGATGAGACGTGAAGATGAACTATAATATTTATGGTGACATCCTTTATTTATAATACAATCTATAAAATTTTCTAGGAAGTTACTACTGTCTCAGTACCATTCAGATAGCATGATTATAGACTTAGTAAAATACGCAAATGATTACGTGAATATTGAAATTTTTTAACGTATCAAATATATTTTTTTACCAATACGTGCACGTCGTATAGGTTACAATCATTATTATCACACGTTGAATTTCTAATGAAATCCAAACCAAATACAAAACCGTTTTGCCCTAACATTCAAGATGATTTATCCGACCACACATTAGTCTGAGCCTAATGTCCCGTTGTGCTAAACTTAGCAGAAGGTTACCAATATACAGTTGCGTGTCAGTTGCAGTAGACTAACCGAACCGCGGTCTATATCGGCCGACCCCAATCGGGGTCCAACGGAAAAATATATTATGTTGCTCTATACCAGGGGTTTTCAACCTTTTCTTGAAAAGAAGGCCTTTACTTATTTTTATCTTATCCCAAACATGATTTTCTTAAGAGTCGTGGTGTTCAATCTCAAAAAAATTGCAACTTTTTTAAATAAAATCAGTTGAGTTGTATCCTGAAAAGATAAGTAGGGTATTTCAGTAAGGTAGGGTTAGTAAGGTAATTCAAGCATTAGCCATGGTTTTTTGATGGTTGTCCTGTTTACTTTTACTTTTCACGGACCAAAGTTTGCCTTCTACGTACCATCGGTTGGGGACCACTGCTCTATACAATACACTAGTTTTACCGTTCTACCTACGCTAAGGCAAAATGTCTACGATTTGTTTGTGGGGCCGCTGTCTAATTCTCACAATTGATCGGGTATCGCACACTTATATATTAGTTCGGTTTTTGTTGTTTTCTGAGTAAAGGTTAATTGTGTGGGTTGAGATTAAAGCGATCGAAATATTGTATTCTTTGATTAATTTTAGGGTCAGTTGATTGATTGTTTTCTGTGAATTGTGGATAAAATGTAAAAATAACAGTAATGGTAATTAAAAATACGAAATTCTTAAGTTTTTCTTCGAATACTTGTGTACCACCACGAAACACCACTTGTATGATACTTAAGGGTCATTCACAAATGTTTAAAGGTGTCCGATTTTAAGGACTAATAATAAAACCCAGATGAGAACTTGTATCCAAAAATGAATTTATCAATCTTCCAATTATCATTAAAAGGAGAAGCGCCTGCGTAAATATTTCTCCATCTACAAACTACTTCATTTCCAATTATCACAACGAGTATGAATACGTGTTATTATTATCTACATTATTATACAAGGATTCAATAACAATATCGTATGCCATTACCGAAATTGGTTCGTAAATAATACATTCATTAATATAATCAGTCTGAGAGTACTTTTAATCAAGCCCAATATCATTATTCTTGCCTAAAAATATTTGTCGCAGGTAAACAGAGGACGGTAGTAATGAATTATTTAAATGGCAACACGGATTTGCTTTCAAACAAATTGAATTTCGGTCAAGTTATTAACTGTGGCCAAGTTTCGATCACTAACGAGGTTACTATGGCTGTACCTACGTAAGTATTGCACGGAGATGTCATTTATGCGCCATCTTGGAAAATATATTTATATCGTGTATATACTTTTTTCATCATACCAAGTTTTATCGTAATCGGACTGGTAGTTTTTGCGTGATGCATGCAGTCTATCAACACTTGCAGACAGCCATATAGACAGACAGACAGACGGACAAAAAATTCTTTAATCGCTCTTTTGAGTTCGGTATATATCTGGTAATATCCAATACTATTTATTTTTCTAATATTTTCAATGTACAATATTTACACTTGTACAGTTTTATTATAATGTATAGATTTTTTTAAGGTGTGCCTTATGATCGTTATCTTTGAACTATAAGTTTCTTAGCGTGTTGTAGCACCTAAACACCCTTATTGGTAATGTTAGGTTAGGTTAGGTTAAGTTTGTGTCAAATGTCATTAAACTATCTTATCTTAGGGGTTCCTTAAAATTTAGGAGATATAGGTGAAAACGGGCATTACTTCATTATTTTTACGTATTTCTTTGAATAATTATTATGTTGTTTGGTTTACACACGTAATTATTCGAGGAACTCGACTAGGTAGCAGCCTGAGACGCTGCGTCGTGGGTCGCGGAATGATGAATATGAGCGTCTAGCATGGTTTAAAACTAGTTGAGTTCCCCGTCAAATAATTACGTGTGTAAGCCGAAAACATAATATTTAATTTAGTATGTCTCACAAAAGTTATAATATAAATACTTCTTTGATAGTTAAAAATACAAGAGAGAAGATTGATTGTAATCAATTATTAATATATTTAATATTATTATTTACATTTAATCAAGTAATATACTTCATCAAATACCTGTTTGCTATGTATATTCTGTAAAGTAATGAAGCAAGTATAGCATGTTACCTACATTACTTACTATGAAATAAGAATTAATATTCTATGATATGATAAATTATTAATTTCTCGATATATCCGACTTGATGATTTTAAACCCGAAAAACCTACCTTGATACCTTTTCTAATCTATAATACCTTTAAACGTATATTCTGTAAAGTCATGTAGTTCGATCGGTATTTTTTCACAAAAACTGAAACTGATGAATATCTCAGAAACTAGCCAGCCTAGCCTTTCGGACCAGAAACCTCAGAGCTAATTTTGTAGGAAATTTGTTGTATTATCACCTCCCGAGAGGAATATATCGAGTTACAAGTCACCAGGTAAACAAAAATTGATTATATCAACGATCTCGGAAACTGCTGCAACGAATTTCTTGTAATTTAGCATCTATAGGGTTTCAAGGGCAATAAATCGATCTAGCTAGGTTTAATTTTTAGAAAATGTCGTTCACTAAAAAACACCGAGCAAAGTTTGCTCATCTGGGTACTAGACTATAATTATAATAACAAAAAACGAAGTAACACAGAAACATGCAGGAAAGTGCTAAGATATTATAAATTCTAATTAGCGTTCCAGGTTTAACAACCCCATTATAGCTAAACTAGGTCACGTAACTGAGCTTACCCGATAGTTTCAAAATACTA